CAGCATTAAATAAAAAACAATTAAATAATTAAATCCGCTTAACTAATTAATTCCAATTAAAAACCCAATTAAATAATTAAAAACACTTAATTCAATTTAAAACACATGACACATAGGTAAACAACAATTAAACCAAATAATCACATAAAACAATTTAATTCAAATTTCAAATAACCAATTAAATAAAAATACAATAAAGATAATAAAATAAATTAAAAGGCAATATAATAAATATATTGAAAATACCGAGACTATCCTTTTCAAAATTAGGGGTATTACATTGTTGCTATATAAGCCTATAATGTTTATAATCTTTTTGTTTGGCAGGTTAAAAAAAAAAATCTCAATTATGTTCGGGTTAGACCTTTTCGATCCAAACCCATAACAAACAGATTTGACCCAGTCGTCCCACTCAATTCGGTTCCGTAGGAAAAATTGTATTAATAAGACAAAGGAGCTACCACACCCAAGCCCAACAGTTCAACCCAAGTGTTGTGGGGCTTGTAAAGCATTTTTCAGAATAAAAAATGCTTGTAATGTACTAGAATATAAATTAGGGTTTTAGAAATGGGAGTGATGATATTTCTAGGTCACGAATTAAGTGGTATCTCAGAGTCAGAGAGAGAGAAATGGCTAATTGGAGGAGTTTTGGCGATCGCTTGCTGTATTGCCACCGGTCTATTCTAAAAACATGGTGCAATTCTACCAATCCGGCGATCTTTCACAACTCCAGTATCGGTGGTGGGGGTGGTGGTGGTTTGCTCCTTGGAGGAGGCGGATGCTTCAGAAAAGCTGCGACCTTTTTGCCGATCCGACATTGTTGTTGTTGTTGTTGTTCTTCTTCTCCACCTGTAAGTCCTCCTCGATCACTGTCTTCGTTACCGTTGCTCATGGTACCTCCAGGTGTTGCTGTTTTCGATCACAACAATTCAGAAAACAACGAGTCCAACAACAACAACAACAACAACGAGGAGGACTATTTTCATTTCGTCAGCCTTTCGGAGCAGAGTCAAATTAGGGTTCGGAAGAATCTTAGTATACCATGGCAGAGGGACCTCCTTATGCCGAACAAAGCATTTTGTGTGGGCTCTTCTCATGGATGGTTGGCCTTTAACCACCCTCGCAATTGTCACCCTTATCTCTACAACCCCTTAATAGACTCCCCTCATATCCCATACATTCCGCTCCCTTCCGTCGAAACCCTCCCCACCGTTCGCGGCGTTCGCTCCCTCAAATCCGATCATTCCTCCCCTTCCCCTTCTCTCATCACACAGTTCCTAATCTTACTCCACCAAAACAACGATATCAGAATGGACACCTTCGAGGAAACATTGTCCTCCAGAAGAATGAGTGGTTGTTACGTAACAAAACTTGCTATGTCATCATCCCCGTCCCTCCCCTGTTATTCTTCATCTTCAAAACCAGAACTTGACGACAACAACGACTGCACTATAATGGCCATCTATGGCAGTAATGAAGCTATTGCCTTCTGCAAACCCGGAAACGATAGGTGGACTGTCTTGGACGGTTTGTTCAAAGCCTATGGTGACATAATATATTTCAGCAAGGACCAACGATTTTATGCCATGAACTCATATGATAGCATTGAAGCTTGGGACCTCACAGACCCTTCTTGTCCCAAAAATCAAGTGTTGGATAAAATTTCCTTTGGTCTGAAGAAGCCTGGGGCCAAATTTAGAGGATCTTATAATCGTGTATTAGATCATTATTTAGTTGAATCCTCGGGCAATCTTTTGCTGGTTTCCAGGTATAAAGCTGTAAGTGTTGATCGAACTGGCATTGTGCATCCTCGTAGGTTGGAAGAGAAAGTAGTAGTGAATAACAATGACAATGAGGAATGGGAAAGTCATTTCCTTCACGATGATGCTGCTTATTGGACTCTGGGATTTGATGTTCATAGGTTGGATTTCGATTGCAATAAGTGGGAACCTGTGGAATGCTTAGGTGACCGGGCATTGTTTCTGGGCACTAATCATTCATTTTCTCTCTCCACTCTCGACTATCCGGAGCTGACGGGGAATTCTATCTACTTCACTGATGATAACTTTATAGCATTTAATGACACGTATCGTGGCCATGATAATGGCGTCTTTCACTTAAAAGATAACAACATTAAACCTTGTTATCCAAACAGGTTGAAGATCTTTGACCCACATCCAATTTGGGTTGCCCCCAACACAATATAGTTCTACGCAAACATCTATTGGTGGATTTTTCTAAATTATGGTTGGTATATATGCAATTGCATAATAGGGTAGATTTTGGCTCCTAACAATTTGTGTTATTTTTATTTTTATTTTTTTATAATTATGCTAAACCAATTGGTGCTTGAATAGCTGTTTTTGCTTATAATTTTGGCAGGTGTTTATTAGTGTATGCTTAATTGGTGTGTGCATACGGTTAAAATTTGTGCTTGGTAATAAGAAGGATATGATGAAATGAGCGTTGTTCTGTTGATTTCAGTTTGTTACTGTTGGGTGCATTGAAGATGAAACTAGATAAGCAGCTATACATTCGGCTATCTTACTTTTTTTTTTTTAAATTTGATTAATGCATGGACTTTTAATTTGATTAATGCATGGACGTGCTGAGTAGGACTTAAGCTGAGTATATGGCTTTCAAGCTTTTATTATTATTGTTCTTATTTAATTTATAAAAAAAATCTCTCAGATTTGACCATTGACTACAATATTATTGCTTTAATACTAAAAAAATAGGGTATAGTAGCTTTATTCAAATCACTAATTTCAAATTGTTATATTTTTACTTTGACTACAATATATGTTCACTAATTACAAATTGGGCCAAAGGCTATATATCCGACTGCTAAAAGTGCCTTGAGGCCAGTTTTGTAGGTGTGTAGAGCACATTTTTTAAAAATTTCTAATTATTGTTCTTTTATCACCTAGATTCCCTTTTGGATTTTTAATCCATTTACAAGCTGTTTATGTTATCGAACAAGCTTGTGTTTTTCAATTCCCTGTTGATTGCTTTTTTTTTTTACTCACAACTACGAACTGTGAAGTTTGGCTCTGCTCATCAACGAAGGTCAATCTGCGTAGATTGATGCTGCCAGAATCTACGCTCAACTTTGGATGTAGACGGTTCATTCTTTTGCTAAGATAGATGATACCAATTTACAGAAAGCAATGCCTAAAGATCATGATCATAAAATAAGTCAGGATGGCCGGTTGATAGATCCTTTTTGAGTATTTTAAACATTGTGAAATTAGTTTGTTATGTGAAGGTTCTGGTCTTCTAGATTGGACTTTCTAATATTTACATATGTTCAACATGCTTTTTGTTCAATTCGAGGTTTAGTATCTTGATTGCAGTGAAGTATTTGCTCTAGTCATTGTAACAATAATGTCTAAAGAGTAGTAATGCTACGAACTAAGATCTTAACAAGGTCTCTTTGCACTATTAGATAAGAATAGAATGTTGCTCCTTTTACGGTAAAATTTGGTACTATCGGATTTGTGCTTGAAAGGTGCTTTTGCTTATTATTCTCATTGGCTGGTGTTTATGAATTCAAGTTCGGCAATGTTATGATTATATGAGCATTATTCCTGTGTATTTCAGTTTGTTACTGTCTTGTAGATGAACTACTATATATTGGGCACCTTACTGAGTTTCATTTTATTTGTATTATAGTTTGGGGTTGCTGGGTAGGACCTCAAGCTTTTTTTCCTGTCTTCCTGTTGCATTGCCAATTTAGACTTAACAAAAAAAAGAATAGGACTTCAAGCTGAGTAGGGCATCTTATGGTTTGCATTCTTTGTTGCAGAATCTGCTGCTTTGTTTTTCTTCTTCTTTCCAGCAGCTCTGGCAACGACTTGGTATGTCATCAGCTCCATTTGTTCTTTGCTATTCTTCATTATCATCAAAACCAGAACTTGACAAGGACCGCACTATATTGGCCATCCACAGCGGATCTGATGATATTGCCTTGTGTTAACCTGGCGACGATAGGTGGACTGCCTTGGATGGTTTGCTCCGCTCCGATGTAATACTAACATCATATATTTCAGCAAGGATCAGCGATCCTCCTTGTCCTGAAAATCAATTGTTTGATAGTCCTGACTTGCTGTCCTGGGAAGCTTGAGCACGAATTTGCATATTCTTGTGATGAGACAAGTTATTTAGTTGAATCCTCTAGGAAACTTTTGCTGCTTTGCTGGTTTATAGCTGTAAGTGTTGTTGAACATGGCATGGCACAGGTTGGGAGAGAGAGCAGAGAATAAAAATGATGACAAGGAAGGAGAAAATTATTTCCTTCACGACGATGATGATGATGATGATGATGCTTGATGTTCAAGTTAGATTTCGATGGGAACCAGTTTTTTTTTTTTATTTTTTTAAATCAACTGAAGATTTTCGGAGGTGATGGGGAATTTTATCTAACTTAAGAGACAGATAATTTTAAAGGATTTAACAAAATATATGGTGGCTGGGCATGATAATGACGTCTTTCACTTGAAAGATGACAACATAACACCTCATTATGGAAGCACGTAAAAGATTATTAACCGATATCAAGTTTGGAATGCCCTTAACACACAGGGTCCCTTTTGGCATACTAATTATGTTGCTTCCCTTTCCTCTTTTCATCTCGGTAAGTTTGTGGATTCTTTTTTCATTATGATTGGTGGGAAGAAGGTTGTGATTTCATAGTAGGGTAGATTTTGGTGCTATTGGATTTGTGCTTGAAAAGGTGATTTTATTTATATTTCTCATTGGCTGGTGTTAAATGGTGTCTGCTTGGTCGTCGGATATGATTATATGAGCATTGTTCCTTCGTTTATATTATATATATATATATATATATGTATGCATTTTACTTGTTTCATTAAATCTGTAGTATAGTCTGGAACTGAACCATTCAGCTAATCCGGTCTCCGTAAATCTGCTCCAAAGTGACCACTCAACGGATAAAAAGATGAAAGAAACTTCACCAATGGAACGAAGACAAAGAAGAGAAGTCAGAATTAACTCAATTTATAGAAGATAAAGCACTACCAATCAGATGTTTTAACTGATGACATACAGATGCCAGACATATACCAAGATTTCTGATCACTGAACATTAAACATATTTTCTTACTTGGTAAAATGAAAGCTTCTTGACCGTAGTCTATTTCAGTTTAAGCAACCTACCTCATTTGAGAACAAATATAAGAGACGTAGAACTAAATCATCCTCTACTTCTCATACAGTGGGATTACTTGTTGTAGGGTTGATCACGCCCCCAAGTTTAGGTCAGGGTATTCTTGACCTTACCTCAACAAGTACGTGACTTATCATCTCAATCGTCACAAATACATCACAATAACAACCATTAATGACATTTGCATTCCGAAATTTTCATAGAATGAAACAAAATAAAACCACCATGCCTTCTTGTTCACTCATGAATAAACCATAACAGTCATAATCCCATACCCCATACGATAATCAACTGATATCCAGAAACAACTAAAATGAAATCTCACTACAAGTGAGTCAGTACATGAAATCTCACTAACTGTCACGAGTAAATAAAGAAATGCACAATCCACTAAACTGAGCTCCACCTATAGCCTGATATATGGCGAAAAAGGGGTGAGCTTGGAAAGCCCAGTAAGTAATGTTCTAGCTAATCGACAATAATTACCATACCTTACCAATTATTACAGTTAAAAGAGAAGAACAGAACTAATAATAAAACATACTTTATTAGCCAATTACAAATTACACTTGGGTGAGACGAAACATAATCAATGTAAACAATCAAATAATTGAGATTTACACTACTGTGTCCCAAATCCGTAAACTCATCACCATCATACAAATAACGATAAACCCAGACCCCACTGACCCCATCATCACCTCCAAAGGAAGCCTTTTTTGCACAAATCCTCAAGCCCAACACCCATGGACAGCTCAATCACGGAAGGACACCCAGTGAACCACCCAAACTCCTCGAGAAGCCTACGATCGTGAAGAGACAATGGAGATCGACAATCACATTCTGGAAGAGAATTAGCCAAGTGGAGAAATGAAACAGGGGAGGGAGAAGGGAGTTGTTTGGAGCCTTGGAGATTGACTGCGATAGATACACAGAGAGAGTTGTAGTGATAGATGCCGATACAATTTTTTTTTTTTGTAAGTAAAAAAATACAGATATAAATATATATATATAGAGAGAGAGAGTTTCTACAGATACAGAGTAAGAGAGAGAATTGTTGGGTCAATAGCTACAAATATATATATATATATAGAGAGAGAGAGAGAGAGAATTGTTGTATCAATAGCTACAAATATAGATATAGAAAGAGAGAGAGAGAGTCTGTATAGATACAGAGTAAGAGAGAGAGAGAGAATTGTTGTATCGTTTTTTTTCTTCTTTTTTTTTTTTTTTTGGGGGGAGTTGGATAAGGTTGCAATGTGTTGTCAAGTTTTTATTGGACATTGGGATTAATACAGATAGGACGTTAATTATCGTTGAAAAACCCGGTGTTTGTTTCAGGACAGGACTTAGACACCTCCTGAGTCATTGTCATTTAACATAGTTGAGCCTACAGGGTGAGCATAAAGTTAAACCCCAACGTTCATTAAAGAGTTCTTTGGGTTTATACTGTAGAAAAGAAGAGTAAGAAGAAAGAAAACAAAAGAAGTTCTATTAATCAACATCATTCCTTATCAATGCAGTGCTAGTCTCCAATTCTCCAATTAACTAATTCACATTCACAAGATCTAATTTACCCAAAAGAAACAAAAAGAAAAGAAAATTATCACATAGTAAATAATGTTTCCAAATCCAGATTTGCTACCACGTGCATTAACATGATGCACATCTTTCCATTTAGAGGTCACATCTGAAAAATGTTATGGGAGTCAAAAAAAAATCAAAACCCAACTTGAAACAAAACCCATCAAAAAATCAAATCAACAAAAATAAATTAAAATCTAAAAAACATATATAAAATTATATATATATATATATATATATATATACACACATACATATACAGGCCCTAAGGGATGAACATTGAAAACCCTAAGGGATGTTAAAAATAAAATCGAAAAAAATTAAAAACTTAGATTGAGTGAGCAATTCATACCTATTTCTGAAGGTGATAAATAAGAGATTCAAAACATTTTTCTAAGGTTTTCCAACCATGAAGGGAGAGAGTCGTATGGTGTGAAGAGGAGCCGTGTCAATTGAGGAGAGAACTTATCAGTTTTGGTTTGAAGAGAGGCTTCTATGGCATTGAGAGAGAGAGGGGGGGAGAGAGGGGGAGGGAGTCGAAGTGAAGGTTGAGGTCTGTAGTTAGGAGGTTGAGGTCTATGATTGGATCGGGTTTTGCTTGTAAAATAACTAGCCAAAAAATTTCCGAGTACGCTATTTTTGTTAAGTTCTAACAAAATATTTTATTTGGGAAATATTTAACTTAATTTTGAATCAAACACCAAAAAAAATAAAAAAAGTTTTATAAAAAATATTTTACATGCAAACAAACAGAGCCTTGAATGGGAGTTGAATATCATGAGTTTGTTTGGTATGGATCAACACCTTTTCAAATATTGATGTCAGGAAAAGATTAACAAACTCAAGCCTTTGAACTCTCCAAATAAAGTGAACTGTTAATCCACCCAAATATATCATGTTTATAAATTGATTATCCAAATCAAAACGAACTTTACCTGCAATTGTAGAGAGTTTGGGACAGATCACTGAAATTTGATAATATAATTGAACCACCTATTGTCATTGCTATAATGTAGTTTCTCTCTATATATAGAGATAAATAATTAAAATAATTATATATGTGTGTGTTTTTATAATGTAAAAGAATTTTTGTGATCAGTAGCCACCAAGACATATCAAGAGGTACCATAGGTGCCCAGATCAGAGAGTCTAATCATGCCGTTATATAAACACTCTTGCTAATGGTGTGGTATTCTCAGTGCTGAAATGACGCAACCGTCATAGCCTAACATTTCATTTGAATGAGTTCAAGAAAAGGGGGAAAATGTATTTGTGCTACCAAAGTTCAAAGTAAGAAGGAAAAAAATCATTGATTATAATTAATATAATTTTAATTTTTAGTGCCAATGTTTAATTATTTGCAGTTGTAGGGCACAAATCTCTAAAAATTGATAACCACCACCAAATCCAACCATGCAATTAAACCTCAACCCAAATTGGGAGTACGTGGAAACCAAAGAAAGAAAACTCAATTAATCAAATTGACAATAATAAACAAACAATTCATAACATAAACTGTGAATCTTAGAGAGGGGGGGTCGATGATTTTACCTGAACAAGAAGATGGCTCGACCCGGTCGTGAGTTGTAGAAGAATCTGGTGCAAGAAAATCACAGAAAATGACCTTTTGAAGCTTCTTGATCAGGTTGGTTTAGTTGGATGAAGTCTGGTAATCCTCATCTGCACATAGATGGAGATAGAGGAGTGTATGGCAGAGAGGGAAAAGAGATAAGGTTAAGATGATGATATAAGCAATGTTTTAAAAAACGCCTCTCAACGCAATTTATTAAGTATCAGCTGTTCTCCGTGTTTCTGAAAAAATGAGAATCATAACTCAAAAACTGTAAGAACCACCTTTTGCTGTTCTAAAAAAAACTATTATTTGAAGCTCAGTTCCAAACAAATCTAATTAGCAGTTTCTGTTTTTTACGTCACTCTGAAAATGGAGACGTTAGTGCCAAACCAAGCAAGGCCAAGGTTCTTGGCCAAAAAAGGAGGGGGGCTTTGACCCCGTGTTTTGTCTTTATTACAGTCAGACCTCCTCACATTTGCACAATTACACTGTTAATGATGTTAACAGAGGAAACGAATTGATAATTTTACCTCGTTTACTGAATAATGGAAAGAGCAATTAGCAAGGGCAAAATGAACTCTGCAGAAAAAGAACAAAAAAAAAAAAAAGATAATGAACTGTATTGTCGAGAATTAGAGAAAATAAACAAACCTAATTAAAAAAAAAATGAGAAACATGAAACAAATTGAGCGCATATACCTTTATTTTAAAAGAATAAATTAGTATGTTGGTTCACGCCATTGGACTGGTTTATCAGGCCAACATTTTGCAAGAAAAGTCTTGTATGATGTGATTATACAATGGAATGAAATTCTCACAATTCCATAATTAACTTTGATCGCAACAACATATAGGAATAAAACAAATGAATAAATAAGGAGCCAATATAGATGCTAATAAACCATCAATGAAAACAATACCAGATAGAGCCCAGCCTGTGTGGAGTTTACATGGTGGAAGGGTATGCATACAGATTGAATGTTTGATACTACTTTTGTTTTTTCTTTTTCACAATGTGGTAATGTTTATTTTCGAATCCATGTCTAAACTTCTCGCTTCTCCCAGTCTAAAATTTTTTAGCATTGCACCAAGCAGTATTCACTCATCAACATTACCAATATACTAAGTATATATAAGGATCTTTCTTGGTGTATTTCAAGATAAGAATGCAACTACTACATTATAAAGAAGCAATTTTGTATGGCTCCAGCATAGATAGGATAAACAAGAATACCAGGAACTATGAGAAATATATAGTACATAATTTAAGTAAAAAAAAAAAAACTAACAACTAAATAAACAGTTATGCATATAAATTTCTAGACTACTATAGCATAGATTTGCTAGTATAAGTTAGCATAACCAAATCAAGGGAGGGCTACATTTTTCTTCATTGCTGAGGAGGGACAATCCAGATAGAAGGCAGTTGAATCTTCATGTCATATTCATAAATAGGAGTGATGTTGTTATCTTCCAAGTTGAAGATACCCAAATCGTGAGAGTCCCTGAGGAGTTCAGCATCAGGACTAGAGAAGTAAATACAATTCATGGGCAAGCCGGGGAAATCAGAGGCCGAGACAGAGAGAGAGTCGTTAAGGCCGACAAACAATGCTGTGGTGTCACCTAAGCTTGGCAAGAGTAGCCACTCCTTGTTAACAAAGTCTAGTTTATACACATCAAATAGAATCGTCTTCTTGGGATCATTCTCATCAACTGGATCATCATAGTACCTAACAACCATCAACAACTCCCCTGAAGACTCCACGAGATAATGATCAGGACTCCAAGCACGTCTCAACTGCCTTTCGTGTTTGTCCATTGTGGGGTGTACCAAAGGAGGCAAATTAGAAATGATGAGAGTGTTCTTTGGAGAGGCAGGGTTGCGGAGATCCCAAGCTTCTATAAGGTTATTATTGGTGGACAATGCATAAAATTTTTGGTCCTTGCTGAAATATATGACATCTTTGTATGATCGTGCTTCTCCATCTAAGGCAGTCCATGAGGTGTCCCCAATTCTGCAGAAGGCGAGGCTGTATTTAATGTAACCTTGGATGACCATCACAGTGCAATCATCAGAAGAACAAGCACTCATTTCATTACTATTATTGATGTTATCGTGGAGATGATGATGGTTGGATGGGAATGGGGACGGGGATGCGGATAAAGCAATCTTCTTGAAGAAAGGCGCCTTACTCAGTTCTTGGGATGAAATGGGCGAGAAGTGAGTCCAAATGGTGAACTCAGTAACAATGGATGATGATGAGGAGGAGGAGGAATTGTAGCGTGAAGATGAGATGAAACAAGGGAGTGTTTGGATGGGAGGGAGAGGGAGGTAAGGGAGATAAGAGTGACTGAAAGGGTTGAAAAGGTAGAGAGAGCAATTGCGAGGGTGGATAAAGGCGAGCCAGCCACGAGATGAACCAAAGCAGATGGCCTCGTTAGGGGGAAGTAATTCCCTTTGCCATGGAAGCATAACATTTTTCGTCTTCATCTTCATCACTTTCTTCTCCGTAAGGCTAAAGAATCTGTAGTAATCCCTGGTGTCCTTGGCCTCCATTGTTACAAGTTTGAACATTTCTCTGTCGTCTGGTTGAGCAACCAAACCAGAGCCACCAGGTAGCATGATACACGGTGCTGATCGCAGAGGAAGAGGTCCACTTAGTGCCCCCTGTTCATCAACTACGTCTACTACTGTCGCTGTTGCTTCGGTAGAAGAAGAAGAAGAAAAACGTTGGATTGATGAAAAGGTCGCACCTTTTTTTAAGCCTCCGACTGGTCTGCCTCCAACACCAATAAAATACTCCGATGATCGGACGGGAGAAAACAAACCACCACCACCACCGGTGGAGTGGTGAAATTTGGCCGCCGAATTAGAACAATAGGACCATGTTTTAAGCATAGAGCGGCGGCTATGCAGCATGCGATCGCCAAATAAATGGAAACCAAAATATGTGAATTATCAAAAATAATTGAGATTGTTAATTGTCCACTATTCCTTTTCTTCTCTCTTTTAAATCATCAAAAATAATTTATATATTATGTTGTAAGCTACAATTGCAACACTTTTTTGTTATTAGATTTGAAATTTTAAAATTAATATTAAAGACTTTAAATGGAGTTCACAAACCTACAAACATTGGCATAAGTCCATGTAGATAAGAAAGGTTGTTGAAAGAGTAATGTATGGGATTTTACGAAACCTTCTTCCCTGACATAGAATGAGAAAGAAATTGATGTTGTTAATCCTAGATAGAATTTGTGTTAAACTAATAAAATAGTTTGTGAAAAATTAGCAATTTAATTGATATAAAATTCATCTTGATAGAATGAGCAAGTAGTTAGCAACTCTTTATCACATAAATAAGTTAAATATTGAAAATGATTTAAAAAATATAAAATAAAATATAGTGCATATAATAAACTGAAAATGAAGGGTTGTTAAATTTTAACTAATTACAGTGATGATTTTGTTTAAATAGCTAATTGTTACTATCCCTAAAGGTATTTGAATTTTGAAAAAATGACTCTAATTGGACATTGAAGAAGTGATTTAGTTTAATAAAGAATATTTTATATTTTTAAAAATATATATAAAGTGTATGGAGATAAGAAAAATGTCTTACATGTATAAATGATTTAAATATTGAAAAAAATTAAAAGGGTTAAAAAAAAAAAGAAAAAAAAAGAAGAAGAAGAAGTGCATATAAAAATTGAAAATGAAGGGTTGTTAAATTTTAATTAATTAGAGAGGTAATTTAGTTTAAATAGGTAATTCTTAGTGTCCCATGTAGAATAGATGTTTTAATTTTGAGAAAATAACTCTAATTAGATATAGAAGAAGTGATTTATTTTAATAGTGCAATTTTTTTATTATTATTATTTTTTTAAAGGAATATTTAGGCCTCGTTTGGTAGAATAGAAATGAGAGGAAAAGAAAAGAAAGATAATGAAGGGAAATAAAAAATTGTGTTTGGTATAAGAGAGTGAAAGGAAAGGAATAGGAATGGAGGATTTTGGAGGGAGAGAGTAAAGCTTAAATAGTAACATTTGCTATCCCCTCAAGAGTGGAAGGGAACGAAAGGAAAAAAAAAAAAAATAGAGAGGCTAATGTTATTTCGTTAATACCAAATTTATCCTTAAATCAATGAGAATTTCTAATCCTTTCAATACCTTTCGGCAACTGCTCTTTCAGTGCATTATTGACGGGCTGGAAACAAGGTGGGCAATATTCATTAAAAAAAAAAAAAAAAAATGCATCAAGTACATTATCCTAATTAGCATTTATGGTACCATTCTTCTCATCGAGTTTATCATTTTTCAAAGCATCCTAGCTTACTCTTTCTTACTTTTGTTGGGTAGATGGTACTTCAGTTATTGTTGTGAAAGTTAGATCATAAATTTATTTTGTAACATCATCAACAATATATCACTCAATATAAATAAAGTGTTAATTACCAAGTATTATCCCCACAAACAATGTAATACCATATATTTTTGTTAAGCTTCTTTATTTGGTATTATGGGTTACAAAAATTGGTTCAAACTTTGAAATGGTTAAAAACATGTTTGGCAGTGGATGTCATGCTCAGAAATTGCATGCTTAATCTATAAATTTGTTTTTTAAAATGTAAAAGGTATATTGGTAAATTAATTAAAATGATTTCCTTTCTTTTTTTCCCTATTATTCTTTTTTTTTCATTAATTAACCCGATAAGAATATATAACTTTCCTTTCATCTCCTTTCCTTTCTTTTCCCTCGTAACAAATGTTATGCTTAAAACTAGACAGAGACGAAAAATTGAAATCGCCGTCTTGGAGAAGAGAGAGATGTCTAATTGGAAGGGTTTTGGTGATCGGTTGCTGCATTGCCGCCTGTCTATGCTTAAAACATGGGGCAATTGTTCCAATTCGGCGGCCAGATTTTACCACTCCACATGCGGTGGTGGTGGTAGTGGTAAGGGTGGTGGTTTTCTCTCTCCCGTCCGATCATCAGAGTATTTTCTTCGTCTTGGAGGCAGATCGGTCGGAGGCGTTGAAAAAAGGTGCGACCTTCTCGTCAATCCAACCTCATTTTTTTTCTTCTTGTGCTAAAGCAACAACAGATGTAGTAGTAGTAGTTGAAGAGGAGGCACGAGGACCCCTCCCTCTTCAATCGGCACCGTGGCTCATGCTACCGGCTGGATGTGGGTTGGTTGCTGAAGGCGACAGCGGAAGGTACAAGCTTGAGGCGAAGGACGGCGAGAGGGATTACTACCGGTTCTTTAGCCTTAGGGAGAAGAAAGTGGTGAAGATGAAGACGAATCTTATGCTTCCATGGCAAAGGGAATTACTTTCCCCCGACGAGGCCATCTGCTTCGGTTCGTCTCGTGGCTGGCTCGCCTTTATCCACTCTCGCAATTCCTCTCTCTATTTTTTCAACCCTTCCATTCACTCTTATCTCCCTTACCTCCCCCTCCCTCCTATCCAAACCCTCCCTTCTTTCATCTCATCATCACGCCACAATTCCAATATGCACTCACCATCTTATTCTTCTTCATCCATAAATTATAATGATATTGTTACCGAGTTTATGTTGTGGAATAACTACTCGCCCATATCATCTCAAGATCTGAATAAGGAGGAGGTTTTCTTTAAGAAGATTGTTTTATCCTCAGCCCCGTCCCCATTCCCTTCCAATCATCATCTTCATATTGAAAACACCAATAATAATAGTAATAATAATAATAATGAGGAGAGTACTTGTTCTTGTGATTGCACTGTTATGGCCATCCAAGGTTACAAGCAATACAAACTCGCCTTCTGCAAAATTGGGGATACTTCATGGACTGCCTTAAATGGAGCAGCAACAGGATACAATGATGTCATCTATTTCAGCATGGAACAAACTTTTTATGCCTTCTCCCACAGTGATGAAATTATAGAAGCTTGGTATCTCAGTAACCCTGCCTCTCCAAAGAATACTAGCATTATTTCTCATTTGCCTCCTTGGGTACACCCCACAATGGACGAACACCAAAGCCTGCTCAGACGTGTTTGGGATCCCGATCATTATCTAGTGGAGTCTTCCGGTGAGTTGTTGATGGTTGTTAGGTACTATAAGGATGGTAAACAGATAAAGACCATTCTATTTGATGTGTATAAGCTAGACTTTGTTAACAAGGAGTGGCTACTCTTGCCAAGTCTGGGCAACAGGGCACTATTTGTCGGCCTTAACGACTCTGTCTCTGTCTCTGCCTCTGATTTCCCCGGGTTGGCCATGAATTGTATTTACTTCACTAATCCTGGCAAACTCCCCGAAGACTTTCACGATTTGGGTATCTTCAACTTGGAAGATAACACCATCACTCCAATTTATGATTATGACTTGAAGATTCAACTGCCTTCTATCTGGATTGTCCCACCTCAGCAATGAAGAAAAATGGAGCCCGCCTCTGTTAAACAGGTTATGCTAATGTATTCTAGCAAATTTATGGTATGGTAGTCCAGAAATTTATATGCATCATTGTTTTTATTTTCTTATACTTTAAATTATATACTCTATATTTTGCATACTTTGTAATGACCACTAAATTTATAATACAAATTACTAACTAATTAAAGTGTGAAGTTATAAAAGAATAATTTAGTAAATTAAGAAATAATAGAAATGAAATATAATCCTAATCTGAATAGGATGCTTATTTGAGAACAATATATATAGGGATGTCCTCAAAATCTAGGGTTATTGTTTTTGAGGAAGAGAACAAGAGGTGGTCAAGTAAATTAGCAAAACAATCAGCTAAGTAGTATTCTAATTATTAATTTTTACAATAAATGGCATGTTTCTGGTATACTTTTAATAAATTTACATTTGAATTCTGTAATAATTCTTGGGTTATTGGTAATGCTATAATGGAATTGATTTGAATATATTTGTTTGGGATATGTTGAATTGGAAACATGGGACTTATATTAAAATTTGGAAGATTAAGAACACACACACAAGAATTGATATACTTATGTGCTCGTGCGTTTTTGGGTATATGATGGACCCTAAACTTTAAAACTAACCTTGGTTCATTCAAGAACATGTCGTAGATATATATGTAATGTAATATATACATATTTATAGGCTTAAAAGTTTTAAGGATTTCTGACGGTCGGGACATGAATTTGGGGCCAAGTTTATTACACAGGTTAGTTGAATTCTTTGAATGTATAGATGTTTTAATGATCTAAGAGCAATAACACCTTGTTTTTGGTATGATTAGAGAGGGTTTCTATGGTCTGATTTTGAGGTTGAAAAGGGCCGAAAGTTTCATCTTATTTTGTTATAAATTAACACAACGAATGAACGTATAATATGTTTTATGATCTAGATTTGGAGCCCTGAGATTTTTGTGTGCTTTGGGGTGGAATGTGGTTTGATTATAGAGGTTCTATTTGTCTGGTCGTGAACTATTCTTGCTGGGTCTGTATTTCATGAACACAAAGGAAGTTTGAGGAAGAAAGATGGGAATGGATCCTCTCCAATAGTTTTCCTCTCCATGTATCCCCAAGCATTCATCCAATGGGTAAAAAAAAAAAAATCACATCACCATCTTGTTTAGATTAAGTCAGTTATGAAACCATAACATGGTGATTACACCAATGATGATGTGACACGTTTTTTTATCGTTGGATAAAGCCTTGGAGACAATGGGAGAGAATCAAAATCCAGAAGGGTGAGCCATGGGCCTTATGACGAAGCCCACTCATGAGACAAGTGCTGGGAGGAGAGTGTGGTTAACCTGTTGTGAGTTTTGAGTCGGGTTTTGGCCATTTGGTACTCTCTGTGTCTGATTTTATGGGTTCGCAATTGGGTCCATCCAAAAGATTTTTATATTTATAATTGATATAAATGATGAGATATTGTTTAACAATTACAGAAATGGAAAATTATAATTAAATATTATTAGCTTAATTGAGTTTGAATACACTTAGGAACTTTGAGTTAAAATGGGATTTAAATTAGTTAGTGGTTTAATTAGTTTGAAAAGTAGCACTTTTTGGTACAAAAATTGGGAGTATGAATTAGTCTTAATTAGCTAGGTTTTGATATTTTGTGAGGATCTTAGTTTGCTGGATTTGTGATTTTTATATATGAGAATGGGATTTAAATTTGTTAGTGGTTTAATTAGTTTGAAAAGTAGCACTATTTGGTACAAAAGTTGGGAGTATGAATTAGTCTTAATTAGCTATTAGTTTGAAAAGTAGCACTATTTGGTACAAAAGTAGGGAGTATGAATTAGTCTTAATTAGCTAGGTTTTGAACTTTTATGAGGATCTTAGTTTGCTGGATTTGTGATTTTTATATATGAGAATGGGATTTAAATTAGTTAGTGGTTTAATTAGTTTGAAAAGTAGCACTATTTGGTACAAAAGTTGGGAGTATGAATTAGTCTTAATTAGCTAGGTTTTGATCTTTTATGAGGATCTTAGTTTGCTGGAATTGTGATTTTTATATATGAGAATGGGATTTAAATTAGTTAGCGGTTTAATTAGTTTGAAAAGTAGCACTTTTGGTTACAAAAGTTGGGAGTATGAATTAGTCTTAATTAGCCAGGCTTTGTTATTTTGTGTGTATCTTAGTTTGCTGGATTTGTGATTTTTATATATGAGAATGGGATTTAAATTAGGTAGCGGTTTAATTAGTTTGAAAAGTAGCACTTTTTGGTGCAAAAGTAGGGAGTATGAATTATTCTTAATTAGCTAGGCTTTGTTATTTTGTGTGGATCTTAGTTTGCTGGATTTGTGATTTTTATATATGAGAATGGGATTTAAATTAGTTAGTGGTTTAGTTAGTTTGAAAAGTAGCACTTTTTGGTACAAAAGTTGGGAGTATGAATTATTCTTAATTAGCTAGGCTTGGATATTTTGTGAGGATCTTAGTTTACTGGATTTCTGATTTTTATATATGGTACTCTCCCTGGTTGTACTTCTTAGTTATAAATTGCAGTTAAGATGAATCACAACTACAAGTATATACGGTCGGGACATGAATCACAACTACAAGTATATTGGTCAAATCTAACCCATGGAAGGAATTGGATTAAGATTTTTGATTGCGGGTGATAAAATTTCATGTGTGAACTAATATATATATATATATATATATATATATATATATATATATATATATGTAGGCATATTAATATGACTTGTGTTGTTCTTTTAAAGCGTGATTTGTGTTGTTTAGCCCTTTGTTACCTTAACGTCTTGTTGACAAGGAAAGAAACCAAAAAAAGATAAACCAAATTGTGTGTAAAGGTAGATGGTTGCATTTGTTAATGGAGTCTTGTCCCAGGTTAAAATAAATATAAATCTATGATTATCTTATAATTAATTAACTAAAAGAGTTCTTAAGAAAACATATTTTATTTTTACACTAAATCATAACTAAATACTTTCTTTTATTTATTTGAATAATGTTAATAAGCCTATTTGTGAGTTTTAATCTTGTAGCGCTTAACAGACCCACACCCATTTACATCCTACTACTTTCCAAGACGGTTGTCGAAAGCAAATTGTCGAGTGGCCCCGGTTTTCAAAATGCGTAAGCATATAACGACGCCCTTCTGGGCTGATCCCTGTTGACCTATAAGATGTTAGCATTACGTCATGTCAGAGCGAACCGTGAAAGACAGTGCACCTATCGCTAGGTTTGCAGAAGGCAATATCATCTGATCTGCTGCGGATGTCCATAGTAATTCCCATCAAGTTCTGATTTTGATGATGATGAAGAACAACAGGGGACAGCTGATGACATAAGAAAAAAATATCAGGCATTTACAAATGACCTAGAAAAGCCAAAGCAATGTCACAAAATAATTTTCAGTGGTATCTCGAATCATGGAGCAATGTCATTTTAGATTCAAGGGCTCACCATCATGTTTGTCATGACCTGACAACGGTATAGATATTATCCGTTTTGTACACTCTCCATGTTATGATTTTTCTCAAAATGTATCTTCACAATTAACATGCATCCACACGTATAAGTGTGGCATCAAAACTTCTACCAACATGGAGAACGTATTCGGTGTGCACCGGGCACATCAGAGCCGTTTGTGTACAACATGCGCGGGTATGGACAGCTCTAATGGCCTGGTGCACGGTAAACCGGGCACACCGAATATATTCTCCCCAACATGCATCCACACATATATAAGTGTGTCATCAAACCTCTCACCTAGGCGACGTAGGAAATTACAACGTTAGTTACTTGTTCACCTTATTTATTCAACATTAAGTATCACAAATGTTTATCACTTTCCAAGAAGGAAAGTGCTACATACCAGGCCTACCTAGGGAGCGACTTACAACCAACATGAAACCATGACAAATAGAATGCAAACTGCAAGATGCCCTACTCAGCAACTCCAAACTATAACTATAATACAGATCAACTGAAACAAGTAAGATGCCATACTTAGCAACTTCAAAACTATAATACAGATCAAATAAAACAAGTAAGATGCCCAATATATAGTAGCTTATCAAGTTTCATCTTCAAGATAGTAACAAACTGAAATAAAAAAAGATCAATGCTCATATAATCATATCCTTGCCAACCATGAATTCATAACCATATGCATACATTAATGGCAACCAAGCATACACTAATAAAGACCAACCAATGAGAATTATAAGCAAAACACCTTTTCAAGCACAAATCAGTTAGCACCAAAATCTACCCTAGGAGGAGAGAGATTATATTATTATGTAATAGTGATCAAGGTTGTTAAAATCAGGATTCTACCCAGAATCGTTTTGGACTCTGTAGAATCGGAATCGTAGAATCAGATTGAGAATCGCAAGATTGTACCAACTAATAAAAAAACAGTTCAAACTAACTTCTTAAGCAATAATATCTAAAACACACCCAAAAAAAAAAAAATGTATAAAAGTACCGAAAAAAGAACACAGACCAGAAGCAAGATGTGTTCTAATAAAGGAGTGCACAGACTTGATTGATTCGTAATTTCAAGCAAAACATTGCAATAGGTTTGATTTAAGGGAGTTAATCTGGGCGGATAACAGGCCCTTCAGAACCCAAAAAAAAAAAAAATTGAACAAAATAAAGAAAGAACATAATATAATAAGAACCCAAAAAAAAATTTTGAACAAAAAAATGAAGGAACAAATTTCAATCAAAAATGAACAAATTTCAGAAACAAAAAAAAAAACACACACACACAACTTTTAAGTTTGAGTGATATGAGAAGTCTGTCAACTATGTCGAGGAGAGTGTCAAACTGTCAACCAAATTGAGGTCGAAGAGCCAGCAAATGAGTTTGAGTGCCTAATTGAAGCTTCCATGACGATTGCAGTCTGTCGAGGAGCCAGCGATGTCAAACAGAAGCCAACTTGCGGAGAAGAGATGACTTGTCGAGGAGCCAAAGATGTCGTGACTCGAGAGAA